TGTGTGTGTGTGTGTAAGCTATTGTCTCTTGTTTAGTGTAATTGAGTACAGAAAAACAGCAGGCCACCAAACCATCAGGCAAAATGAAAGAAGTACAGTTTGTACGTGTCTGTGTGTGTGTGTGTGTGATAGAGAGAGAGAGAGAGAGACAAAGACAGAGAGAGAGAGAGACAAAGACAGAGAGAGAGAGAAAGAGAGAGAGAGACAGAGAGAGACAGACAGACAGAGAGAGAGACAGACAGAGGGAGAGACACAAAGACAGAGAGAGAGAGAGAGACAGACAGAGGGATAGACACAAAGACAGAGAGACAGACAGAGAGACAGACAGAGAGAGAGAGACAGACAGAGAGAGAGACAGAGAGAGAGACAGACAGAGAGAGAGACAGACAGAGAGACAGACAGAGAGAGAGAGACAGACAGAGGGAGAGACACAAAGACAGAGAGAGAGAGAGAGAGACAGACAGAGAGAGAGACACAAAGACAGAGAGAGAGAGACAGACAGAGGGAGAGACACAAAGACAGAGAGAGAGAGAGAGAGACAGACAGAGGGAGAGACACAAAGACAGAGAGAGCAAAAGAGTCGACGGTGAGACGTTGATGTTTTCAGATCTTGTTGGTGATCAGACAAACAAGTGAACAATGCACTCGGTATGTTTGATGTTTGTTGTGAAACATAAACATATACAGTAATGTGTTCACTGTAAATACATACATTAAGGATACAGTTAAATTCATTTTTCTGCATGTCCATCTATTGGGAACCATGTGTTTGTTGTTTAGTTTACTTCTGGTATGGCATCAACCAAAGAGAGTATAAAGTTGTGTCAAACAAGACTAAATTAGTGTAGTGACCCTATTTAAGTGGAACGATACACATGTTTGTAAGACGTCTGCTTTTTTTTGCAGCAAAGTAAAATGGTAATGTAGTCTATGCTGATCTCTGTTCAAATATAATAAATATATTATATTTCTAATACACTGACCAGTGCAGAAAATGAGTATTATTACATGGCTGGAAATAATCCTGAACAAATAAACCATTCACTTACAGTTTAATTAGAGTTTTGCTGAAAACTATGGTTTACAGAAAAATGTACAATACATCTCTTAAGTACACTACATATTCACTATACACAATACAATATTCACGTTTTCAGTAGGGAATGGGCTTGTGTTTGAGTGCCAGAAACAAGAAAGAGAAGTCGGAAAGTATTGAAATAGAGGATTAACACAATGTTGGTTTGGGCCTTGTCATGGTATTTCTAAGCAACAAAAAAAAAAAATAATACAGCTACAGTGTCACCTCTACTCATGTTTACCTCAGAGAGTAATAGTATTTTTGATAAACTAGATGGCAGCTGCTCTAAACTGAATCTATTCCTGTGCAAACAACATGTCAATATCGGCTCCCCTTGTGTGTGACAGGTTTGGTCAATATGTCAATACAGTTTCTAGACGAGATCATCATCTCTATATATTGTTTTGAGGGCTTGGAGGGTCATTATGTCAGTGGGTGTCTGCTTTGTGTGCAGACACACGCACAAAAGAGATGCCAATGGTCTGCTGGTGGATTTCCTAGATGAATGTGAATGCACAACACTTTGACTCAGATAACCACACTAAATCTGATTTTTTTTGTCATTTTCAAATTCCAGTGGGGATATGGCCACAGACAGGAATACTGATGCGAAGGTGTATTTAGTTTATAGACAGGGACTCTGTGGACATCGACTGCAGCTGGAGTTTATTGACAAGACATCAACAAAACACTGTTTAGACACTGTGAAGAATAGAGCCTGGCATCCCGTCAAATACTGTCACATCAACTTTAAATCTTACCAGACATTTAGTTATCAGTTGCAACACACACACACACACACACACACACACACACACACACACACACACA